ACAAGATTTTTCTCAATATCACATCAAAATATAACAATCCGAACAGCATAATAACAGATCTGAAACTTGTTTTGTCCTTCTAGTCCCTTCTCTCTTTTGCATTCTTAGCTCTTCTCTCTGTTTTCTTCTCATTCTCTTGCTTACTGCCTTGATAGAGGATCAGTGGCCAAGTGGGGATCAATGAAAACTCCTGCCTACAGAACTACTGATGGACAGAAATGTTGGTCTGGGTGGAAGAAGTCATGGTTATGATGAAGCATTTCCATCATGAATGAAAAAATAAGCTCTTCTTGAACTGAGTTACTATTTTTTGTTATTTTTTTTTTACTCACTGCTCTGTAAAAGCCTAAAACTTCTAAAATCAATAAATTCAATGCAAACAGATTTATGAGTAGATTTCTTATTTTAAGTTTATTAAAGACATCTATTTTCAGTTTCCCCCTCCTCCTTGGAAATCACCTGAACAAAGCTGCTAAAGGCATGCAGATAAGGGGGAAATGGTCTGAAACAGTAGCTGTACCTAGTAAAAATGCTGAATGATTGTACCCTGTCACTTTGGACTGTAGGTCAATAGCAACAAAGCTGACTTTCTCAATGTTTCTTGATCCAATAGTGCTTGTTTACAAAGGGGTAGATACACTCTTGCATTAGAAGCAAAATAGTTTAAATAAATCATGTCTTTATAAGCAGACAACAGCAGTTTCCCAAAAGTCTGAGTGGTTTAATCAATTATCTACTAGATAAATTTATCTTGACTGTCACTTTTAGAATTTATCTGTGGTTTCCCTGTAGCTCCAGTTTGACTGAAGTGAAATAGTTTTGATTGCCCTTATGTTGGTGGTATTCCAAGCCCCACTATGGAAGGTCCCGCTTCTTCCATAGGAGAAGATATATTTCTCATATTGAGGACTGAACTTGAACTTGGGGAGATTTTTGAATTCAGTGAACAACCGAAATGTCTAGACAAGAAAAGGCTGTGGGAAATCAGCTGAATGAGAGTGTAGCTTCCTTGGAAAGCAATGTAATCTGGAGAATAAAGAAAAGCTGATATTGAGAACTAGAGTATTGAATGAATTAGCAAGTAATTGCAAGCTAATACTGTGAATGAGAGAGGCAAAGAGAAAACTGTTAATATGCTACACATTTGACAAAATTTTGAGATAGAGTCTTTTTTTTTTGGAATGGCAAGAAAAAATAGTAAATAGCATAATAACTGTTAACATGTGAACTTAAAAAAAAATCTTATTTTTTGGAAAAGTATTCCTCCTGCATTTGTAGAAATTTGGTCATTATAATACAGTTACAACAGAAAGGCCCTGTAAAGCTGTAAAAATGGCGTACAGCTGGAGAGGAACACTAGAAATTTCTACTTGCTCAGCCATTTCATAAACATATCTCTAAAGAAAGCCAGAAGTTCTTCTGACTATTTCTATATTTATATAGTCGTTGCTTTTTATGATTGCCAATTTGCAAATTGTTAAGAAGCTATGAAAGGTGTAACTATGGAATCTATCCTTCCTGGAAAAGAGACATGATATGGTTAAGTTATATGACTTTCTGAGTGAAAACTTGATTGCAACATAAGAAATCAAGATATGAAAGAAATTGCTACTTTTCAAAAGGTAGCTGAGCTTCAGACTATGCTGAAAAATAGTTAAATATTTCAAGCCTGGCAAAGAGAAGGGGAATCTAACTGCTGATTCAAATAGCCAATGGGTGATTAGGGAGACTGACTCAGAACAGGCTGACTCAGACTTCTCTTGGGCGCTCAGCAAAAGGATGAGATGCAACGATCACATGTTGCATCAAGGGGAAGTTCAATTAGAAGTAAGTAAGTAAGAAAGTAAAAGTAGTGATGGTACTTAGGCACTTAGTAAAGTAAAGGTTAATGATGAGACAGGCTGCCCAGAGAGGCCCAGAGAGGTTGTGGAATCTCATTCCTTGGAGATATTCAAAACTCAGCCAGACAAAGCGTGAGATAGCTTGGTCTAACTCAAAACAAGCTCTGTTTTCAGCAAGAAGTCAAATGAAATAACCTCCAGAGGTCCATCCAAGGTATACTACTGCATGATTTTTTATGAAATCACGGTTTGCATTCTTACAAAATCCCATATGTAATCAAAGCTTAAGGTGATGTATCTATTTAAAAAACATATGAAGAGGGGTGGTTCCCAGCAAATTGGAAGCTCTGAAGATTCATTTGCAGACAGTGGTATCCTGAAAACCATTGAATAAGCGACCCAGAACACTACTAGAGAAGTTTGTCCTTTTGGTTTATGTTGGGTTTGTTCTCTGCTAGGACAGTAAAAAAAAAAAAAAAAAAGTGAGCCAGAAACCCATAGATGTCATCTGAGACAAGAAACAGATGATTTATATTTGTGTTCACTTACCTTTATGCTTTTCTTTTTGAACTTCATTTTACAGAAATTTCAGAGTTACAAGAAAAAAAAATAAGGAGCTGGCTAGAAAACATGCAGTTATGAGGGGTTAGTGGAAATACAGTGAATTTAGTCTATGAAAAGGAATTTTATTGTTATTCTCGTCATTCATAATGTGTCTCCAATTTTATAACTGAGAAGTCAAATTACTCTCTGTTATGCTAGAACATTTAATTTTAATTTTAAAGCTGTCCAGTGTTTGAAATAGTCATGTGTACCTCACAAAGATGGAACAAATATTATTTCTATAGGAGTAAGTAATGAAAATAAGGAAGTGTTGTGAACAAATCTTTTGCATCATTTGCATCAGCCAACATTTTTGGAGAGATCTGCCCAGAGGGATGACATGAATATTGATCCAACCAGTAGTAGTTGAATTAAGCTTTTTAAAGAGCTTTAAATGTCAGTTTGGAGGTAGGAATTATTATTTTAGATAAATAATTTAATATATTATAAATAATTGAAATAAGTAATTACAGCAAGTGTCAGTTTGGGATTCTAAGAAAACAACAACAACAACAAAAACAAAACAAATCTTACCATGTCATATGAAAAAGTAGCCTTCAGCATGAAAACTACTACACAAACCATCTCTGACTAACATCTGGAAGAACAAAGAACTGTTTGAGTGGAAAAAGTAAGCTACCTTCTTGTAAGGAAAGGAAACTATTTTGGAGTAATGCTGTAGGACAGGCTAGGTAAGAAGAAATTATAGGGCCAGGTAGAACATCCACTTTTATCAGAAAGTGCTAAAAATATTTAGCAAAGACTTTGCTAGCATCATGTTTCATAGTCATCACAGTGAAATAAGGAAGAAGACACATAGGAATCTCTGCCAAGCAATGTTTTTTTTTAAGACAACATTTTTATATCACTATTTCATAAGCATCTGAAACAATTAAATGCATGTTTTAACAGGAATTGAAAAAAAATACAATATTTACCTTGAAAACTGTTCTTAAATCTAGATCCCTTTGGTAGGAGCTCTGGAGTGTACTCACGGTAACCTCCTACATAAAACTGACTGAAGACATTGAGTCCAACCAGTCTCCCAGGAGAAGTGACAGATTTATTCTTCTGATCATCCACCTTACAATGAAAACATTTATATATGTTACCATAAAGGAATTTATTTATGAGTGTCTAGTAGAGGTAATCCTCTAAATTCAGCAAAAAACACACAAAAATAAGCATTTCTTAAACTTTTTGTTCAGTAAGTGAAAAAGAAACAGTTTTCCTCAATGCTGTCCTCTAAAAGAAGTATTTTCTTACCTTCAGCCAGCCTTTTTGGAGAGATCTGCCAAGATGGATGACATGAATATTGAGTGTCAGATCAAGTGGTTTACTAATGACGGAGGCAGTGCCAGAACCCAGGTTGTAGCTATATACCACTCTGCCATTACGGAGGCCCAACACTAAGAAATCATCTCCATTCAGACCTGGAAAGACAAAAGTAGAATAGATACTTATTCCAGGGTTTAGTGAATATGAAAACACGAAATATTCTCTAGATACACTGAAAATATATCAGTTTACGAAAAAAATAGCCAGAAATATTTTAAAGTTTGATTTTTAAAAAATATTCTAACTTAAATTTTCCAGTACTTCTGCAGACTTAAAATAGTAACTGTAGAAATTTTTAAACATATTCGCATGCTTTATGAAGAAAGTTATTTTTCCTACAAAAGTAGGCTGGCAATATGCACCAGTCCTGTTGAGCCTGGTAGATTTAGCAGTCCTTGGTATTCACTCACCCTACAATATGAATAAATTCCGAACTTTCTCCAAAAGCTAAATCATACCTAGAAAAAGAAAAATGAAATGCCAAGTTGCATCTGCATGAGAGAGTAGCTCATGGCTTAACTCTGTTTCAGCACAGTTTCATGGCAGATACTTTTCCTTTTAAATGAAAACAATGGATTTCAGGATTTCTCCATGATCTATTTACTACTTGTTCTTGTGAGGTTGTCTTAACTGTAGGCAGTGCACTTAAAAGGCACATTTACAGGGATTATGCTTAATATGTAACACATGAATAGGAATTAAAAGAACCCTAAATATTCCCAGTCATGTGTTGAAGGCAATGGATTTTTGCACCAGAATCTTTGAAGAGAAAATCTCTGGACATGTAAGCAAAAGCAGAATCACTGAAAATCAGAGAAAATATGATCAATTTGTTTCTGCTTACAAGCCCCAGTCTTCCTCTCTCACATGTTCTTTTAGTATGGTAAAAGAGATGAGTTACAAATGAAGTTAAAAAGGAATAATGTTCTCAGTCTTGGATTAGAATATGCTGAATTGAAATTCAGAGAGATCTGAACTTCTTTTTTCAACTGTACTGTGAATTAAGGCAATTCGGTTCTCAATTTTATGTTTGTAAAAAGTGCTTTATTTGATGTTTTCATCTATTTGCATAAGGTTATCCTATTTTTCATTCTATTTGGGGAAGATACTCTTCCTATTTGTTTGCACAGTGGTGCTGATTTCAGAAGTGTGTCCTGATGCCACTGCCCCTCGCGTGCATGGAGTCTGCTTTATCTGCATTTTCCCCATGTCAGGAAATGATTTGTGCATCTCCTCCTCCCACCGACACTGTGCATGCAGCAGTTTCATGACCACATCCCTTAACATGCCTGTCACAGCCTTGTATGCTGTAAACAAACAGCCTATATTAGCAAACAGAAGGAAAACAGTGGTTTGTCTTTTCTTTATAGATATTTGGTATTTCCCTACCGATACTATTTAGAACCAGCATGAATATAGATACTTATGTGTATATATATATATATTATATAAAGAAAAGACTGTTCTGAAGGGTTTGAACATGTTGCTATTGCCGAAAATGTACATTCAAGTTCATTGTTTGCTTTCATTTCCGTTACAGTGATTTGTTCATGACTGTCAAAGAAAATTCATTACCCCCAGTTACACTGGCACATTGCCAGTGAAGGATTTCCAAGCTATAGAAGGACTTTTCTCATTATCAAAGTTTCCATTTTCAGCCTCATCCACAATGTATTTATGTATGTGATTTGGCAAAACTATAGTAAGAACTATACAGACATAAAAGGCGTTATTTAAAATACTGTCTAAATTTTTAAAACGCTTCCTTGGAAATGAATTGCAGAGAAGAAATGTAACACTGGCAGCATTTATTTATTTATTTATTTTTTAAATTCGAAGCTTAAGTAAGTGTTGCATAGCCACTAATCTTTCCAAGCAAAAAAACAACAGAACTTGTTAAAATCAGTGGAAAATCTACTGTTGATTCCAGTGGGCTTTGGGACAGCTACTCAGTCAGGTTACTCTTTTAGCAAGGCAAAACTTTTAGCAAAGTTTTATTGTCTAATACCCAAGTCATGTCAATGCAGCACCATGCACTAAGCATGCGGGCCACATTGAATAACTGCTAACATGTACATCATAACCTTGTATTTTTATTGTAATGGTATTTCTTGCTCTATTTATACTAAATGATGGCTATTTTCTTTGTTTATAGAAAAGCACATGGAATCAATACTACTGCCTAGAGGTCAAAGAAATCAGGCCATCTTAATTCACAGTATTTCCGTTGATTTCTGATTCATTTTTAAGTATTAAATAATGGTTGCATTTTCCCTATGCATTAATTTTACACTGGCATATTTTTAATAACTTATTTTTTTCTTACATTAATGTAATTGCAAATAGAATCAGATTAAAAATGTTTTAACTTTTAAATTTTCAAGGTTATAAATTAATGATTTGATGGTCTTAGCTATTAACAGCTCTGAGGGTTACTTCATATTAACATACAAGACTCATTTGGGGGAAGCTCTGTTTCTCACATTTTCTGCTTCTGTACCTATTCCTAGCTCTAGAGTATTTGTCACTAAAGTTTCTGTAGTCAGAACAGTCATAAGTCTTCACCCTCTGTTTAATGTAGAATCAGTTGTTCTGTAAATTTGCAGGAAATGTTTTGATTTCATTAAGATAACATTTCATATGTTCTTCAAACAAAGATAATTTTAAGGGAGGGGGAAACCAAGAACAGTATCCTAAAGAGACCCACAAAGGAAACTTGGTATTAACCAGTTTAAGCTATTTTTGCTATGTCTGAGCTTTAAATCCCCAGCTTTTGAGAATGCACACTTTTATATATTTATCTGCTTAGTGTTTCACATAGTATGGACCCCCAGTTACATCCTTTAAAAGTCATTTACACTGAGAGCGAATGTTTAATCCGGATATACGTAAATAATCTCATGCTTGAGTTGCAAACAGCACACTCAACGGCACTTGAATTTACTTAGATGCTCTTTGAAACCACCCATGCTTTACTGCTTTTAATTTTGAAGATCTTCATATTCACATTTTTTTTCACCTCCTGAAAATAATTTCCAGTCAAGAAAATAAGCTGAGTTATTCTATTAATCTATCAGATAAATGTAACCCTTGCAATCAAAATGACTAAATGACTAAAATATAGAGTTCTTGGCATTCACTGAAGCATCCATTTTTATCCTTTCCCCAAAAGGCTGGGGTAATACATCTTATTGCACTCACTCAAAACCTGCATATTTGGCCCATATTTGCCCCAAACCTGCATATTTGGCCCATGTTGGACCAAGGCATACAACGAGTTTCACAGTCAAAGGCTTCCTCCTGAATCTAGCTCATGCACAGTCTTGCTCCAAAGTCAGCATCTTTGCTGACTGCAACTATGGTGATGTCAGATAGGGATCTGGATGGTCTCTCAAGTCAGAATACTCCAAGACTTACGCATCCTCAACAAGTAAATCCAAAAGGTGACAGTCAGTACTGCTGTTATACAAAAATGACAGTGCACCTTCTATTGCAGTATGGGGAAACTGGACAAAACACAGTATCGGTCAGAGACTGTAACAGAGATTGCAAATGAACAAAGAAATATTCTTTTAGTGTATACCTCACTGTCAGTAGCACAATGTCAGGAAATAACTGGGCTACTTTAAGTAGAAGATTCAGCAATGTGAAATTGCTATATGATAATTTAAACATGTTAGGGTGCAATAAAACTACAAGCCTTGCATGTAACCTGATAAGTAGGGTGAAGTTTGACATTCAGTAATGTTATGCAATTGGAATTTCATTTATAGGACTCTGTCTAGTAACTTCTATAGTACATTTAAATGTCAAGAGATAATCTCTTGTCTTCCACAAAGATATAAGCTTATTTTACTAGGAAATTAGAAACCAAAATTAGCAGTAGGAGGACTTCCTTTGGTATAAAGAGACGTGAGGAGTCATTTGAAAAGTCTTAGAGAAGAATTATGTCTTTTTTTTTCTGATATTGATTTATTTTTAAGATCTTTTGTTCTCTAAAAAGTTTTTTGTTTGAGCAAATTATTATTTTTCAAAAACAGAACTTATGCTAATGGCAATGGTTGCAGTGCAGTTGTCCTGGAAAGACCGAAAACTCTGGATGGGTGAAAAATTAATCGCATTTCATAAGAGAGAATCGGAACTTTGGTGTGTGAAAATAGGAGATATTTTTTCTATTACTCCATTCCAAATCAGAAGGCAGTGTGGACTTGAGAGCCGCCACACAGAGGCCTGTATACACCAGCAGCCCGAACCCAAGCCATAACCCTAACCCTAGCCCTAAGCCTGAGGCTACCAGGCCTAGTACTGGTTAAATGTCAAATATGGTCCTAGCACCAGTGTGGATATAGTGCTAAATTTCCTTTGGCATGCCCTTTCTAGCCCCACTCCCCGTGGGACTCTAGGCTTTTTCTTTCTCCGTATGGTGTATACAGGCCTTATACAGGCCATAAGATGAAATGAAGATGCCTGCTTTTCTGGTTACTGAGAGAGGTTCAATATAAAGTTGAATGAAATATTAAAACAGAGATGACTTCTGATTTACAAACTTTTTATGAGTAAGATGCTTTTGAAGGATCTTGAAGGAGAAGATGCTTTTTATCTATATTTTAGAAATCATTTGATAATGTTTCAAAAAAGGTTAGCCACAACATTAATTCAAATATAATGCAGCATGGAAATTAGCATGAGAGGAAAGCTGACTCAAGGATTGTAATCCAAAAATAATAATAGAAAAAATGACCAGGGACAAAGAACTGAGCTGTCTGGAATCTGGAAGCTAAGAATGAGCGACTCAAGGAAGTAGCATACTATAAGAGAATGCTAATCATGAGAAATCAGATGAACTGAAGAAAGGGGAAAATGTTAACAGAGTATTAAAAATACTTCCATTAAGATATTTATTGGGTGTGAAAATCTCATACTCCTCATCGTTACAGCATTATTGCTAATATTTAAAAGCAACATATTAGAGCAATAGCATAGCACCCCTTTGCTGTGAAGTAGGCTAAGCTCACTTGGTAAGAGATACTGCTTTCTGGAAATTGAAAGGAGTGTTGCTTAGGATCCCCAACCTTTTAACTTAAAAAGAAAATAACTAATACTGCTACACAGCGGTTTGCCTGGCACTTCATTTTTTCACAGTCTTGTTAACAGATGGTGCTCTGCTGCCCTCCCATGATTTGATATGCAACTGCAGAAATATATTTTTATTTTATGGCAGTGTTTATGAGGAAAAACATACAAAATATAGAAAGCTAGACTTTCTTCTGACAACACTTTAATGTAGCATTCTGAGACTCACCCAGGATGCTACTATTCCGGTTAATAAAAATGACACCATGATACATCAAATAAGAACTCTTTAAAATTTAGTTGTGCTGTGAGAACTACACTTCATAATGACTTTGACATTACAGAGTATATTTTGCAGGTAGGCCTTTATGAAAAAGAATTTAAAAAATAGAGATTGAGTCAGTCCTTTGTAAACTTATTTTTTTAATTTTTTTTTCCTAGTCAAAGAAAACTAAAAATAAAGGTTATTTTTTACTGTTTATACTGCTCATTTTGTATTTGCATTTCTTCTATACAGAACAAAGACAATGAACAATTTAGTCTATTCTGTGTTTGTTTAAGTATCCTACAGTTGCAGTACTGACAGCTAGACATTCAGTTTCCAGGGTTGCAGAAATTTCTCTGAATATTGTAGTTAATTCTGGTCATTGTCAACAAGTTCTGAGGATTCATTAATGTTTGTATTATGAAAGGACTAAGTATTGTTACTGAAGTGTAATGGTGGGGACACTGGTTTCTGAAAGGTGCTTTCTGAGTGACCAGGGAGTCACTGGCTTCTGATGATAACTCCCCACAGCATTTCTAATTGTCTAGCTGAAAAAGAGAGACAAACTTTCTTTCATCCAAAAAGATAAATAATCAGTAAGTGAAAGGTAAAGCTGCTAAGGAGTGAACTGAGGATAAGGAAAAGTGGGGATTGCCATTAAAAAAAATAGAACTGTGCACCAGTGCTCTTAGTTCTCTATTTAGTTAAAGTCAGTTCAATGAGCAGTATCAACTAAGCAAGACAATGATTTGTTCAAGACCAGAAAAAAACAAAACAAAGACAGAAGTCTGATTCACAAAACTTTCTTTTAATTACAGATGTACAGAAGCAAAGCAAACTTTTGAGTTTAAATACACTTAAACTGGTTTAATTCTTAGCTTTTTACCAGGGTAATTTGTACATCTTGATAAATTAAGTAAATCAGCCTGTGGTGGCTTGTCCATGTGCTGCACCAAGATATCTTGGAGCACGTAGGTTTGCTTGATCTGCTGAGCTGCACTGACTAAATTTGACAGGATTTTGACAGGCTTTTCAGAAATTGATTTTTCAGAAATCCCACAGGTACTGGGCCATATCTGCCAAATTCATGTGATGTTTTGGATAAGGTAAAACAAATAGTGGGGCAGTAGACATGTTTATGTACCTATCTCCCACTGTGATGGCTTTAGATCTAAAGACGCATCAACAAATTGCCCTCCCAGGCTTCAACACTACCATGCAACAGCCCCAAATTCCAAAGCATGTTCTAATTGCAGAAATAGTAGAAATCAGCAATATGCTTCCAATGACCTACTATGTATAAAGTGCTTTCTACCCTAAATACTGCATGTCTATATCAACATTTCAGGATTTTTTTTCCTCTATTTCCTCAATACGGTGGGTCCTGTGTTGACAGTAGTGCTGAGACAGGCAGAACACAAGTTCCATTCCAGTATGTTTCCATACTGCCCCACTGCAATGCTAAGTTTGTGTCAGTCTGCTGAGATGACATGCTGTGCAGAGATACCTAAGGTATTATTAAAATATTATGGCAACTGTTACAATTAGACTAATATGCACTGCTTCTTAGTTGCTTTAATCAGAGGAAGCTGAATGATTTGCTGTACAGCTTCTAGCACAGCTTATTGATAGCTAGCTGGAGATAACTGCACTGAATGATGTTAGACTGGTGTAACCAAGATGGCAAACTGCTGAAAGTGCTCAGCAGTGCTGGTGACCTGCCTGCTTGACAATTTTTAGCACTCTCACAGGAAGAAAAAAAGCTCATCTGGTTAATTATACCACAGATCTTTAATTAGACTGTAGACAGGGCCAAAAATGTTGTGATGAGGCCAGCTAATACGGGAAGTTTGGCTAATACTACCAAGTGGTCCTGCGGTTTCTGTTACCAGTAGACTCATTCATTTTTTGTTGCTTGCAGTTGTGTTGCATTATCTTGACCTTAAGCACAGTTCAATACTAATTCTGGAGGAGTCTAATATTTTACATATATAAGACAGAATCCTTTTGGGCTATATTTCAATGTTGAGATTCCTGTGGGCCATGGAAGTGCAACTGTTGTGACAACATAGCAGTTCTTGCCTCGATCTATAACGGGTCCGTTAAAGACACAGGAAATGTGGGCAGGGAGGCTGTGACATACTGGCAGGATGGATGGGCAGATTTCCCAACAAAAGAAATGTCATTGGAAGAAGATTGGGGGCAGTACCTTTGAAGAGTGGGCACCAGCTAAAGGTAATCAATAATGAAATATATTTGCAACTGTAAAGAGAATCAACCCTCTGATTTCCATGTTTTGTTCAGAAATCTGCTACCCACATCATAGGATTTATCACTAATTTTAACCACTGTACACTGTCATACTTCTCCTTTATGAGAAGAAACATACAGAAAACCAATTGCTTTTACGTATGTTTACAGAACAATAAAGAATTCAAGAGATTATTTTTCTTCAAATGAGATTATATTGTAAAAAGAATCCACTGTAATCTCCATATATTCTCATTCTGGAGGACTGTGAGTATAAGTATAGATAATGAGAATAATAAAACTTACCTTTGCCTTTCTGTCCAGTAAAAAATATCAAGTTATCTTGTAAAGCTGAATGGTGGTTTGCTAGCTGAAATTTCAAGCGGAATTCATAGTAGAAGGTGATATTTGGGACTGCAGAATAAGCCAGGAATGAGGTATAGCCAAAGACATCTGTGCCACTGAAACTAGGCTGGGTAATATTAACAGCTGCATTAAAAGTAAAGAAAGTCTTTGTTAGGCCGAATGCTTTAACACATATTTGTATGCTCTTTTTAACGGTCACTTTGAGAGATTAAAGACTAATCAATAATCCTATTAGGTTCATATGTTGTGATGTTTTACACACATGCAGATGCAGTTTGTCTTTCCTCTGGCCGTAAGCACTTCACTGCTCAGCTCTTGTAAATAGACTTCTTTTACAACAATAATATTAGCAACTACCGCCATCTCCTGGTCTCTAGACAGTATACAAAAAAGTACTCAAAAAGCAGACAAAAGAAATCGCACAAAGGAATTGTTCTTTTCGAAGCTAGGGCATCAGTTGTGTATGAATGAACTTAAATATAGGGTTGTGCTGTAGGGGTTCAAGAATAATAATTAGGCAGAGGTGGAGAACTAATAAAAAGAAACACCATGTAAAGATGAATTTTCAGTAGAGTGAGTAGAACCTACATGAATCATATCCTCAGAATTGCTTACTGTACAATTTGAACTGTCCAAGTATTCCAGAAACAAAATATGTATCAAATGCAAAATTTATGGAACTTTTTTACTTTTTTTTTTTTTTTAAATCATCAATGAGATGATGGGCATTGACCAAAGAAAGCTAATAGGCTTCCAAAAAAGCATTTCTAACTACATACTCCCGTTTCCCTTAAAATTGTGAAAGTGAATATTTCATTCAAACACCTACTGCTTTTGCAACACAGAAGTTCATGTTGAGAGATCCTGTGGGATCAAAAAGCTAATGAAAATACAAAAAGAAATCTAGTTTATACACACATCTGTACTGCTAAAGAGTTATGATACAACCCAGAGATGCCTGATGGAGCCCAGTAGTCAGACTGCTGTCGATTACTGTACTTAATTCTCAGAGCAGAGATAAGGCAACCTTCACATTGACAATATGATTCAGTGAAAACTAGAATACAGAGGAAGAAAAGCTGAGGAAAGCTAAATCCTGGAAAGCTAAGGGACTCTTGAGTGTTTGCCTTCCACTGAACTGAGCACCAGATATGTCTGGATCAAGCTATACTATCGCAAGAAAAGCACTGCTGCATGCACAGAACAGACTGGGCAATGCTAAATAAGAACTATAATCCTCCCGAAGTACACTTGCACTTGCCAAAATACCTTTAAACATCTGGCCTTAGATACTTACAGACTGAGAAGAAGAATCAGATGTAATTTGGCAAATGATATCACTGCCTCTTGTTTGTGAAATCTCTCTCTAACTTTGCTACCTGGGAAATTTGCTCTATTGCCCCTGAAGTGTCAGATAGGGTCTTAGTATCTGGAATATTTAACGAGAACAAGATCTTATAATGAAGGAGGCCATTCGGTATGCTTTCTTTTCCTGATTTACCTGGGAAAGGTGAATTCTTTCAGGTACCCTCAGCGAGTCAGAGAGCCAGAGAGCCCGGTAATTTGGTTCTCTGATTGAACTTTTTACTGACCAGTTATTTTTTAAACGGTTTGCTGTCTTGAGGTCTCTAATTCCCAGCTGGATAAGTTCCATTCCAGTTCTATCACCTTTTTTCTCCCATGCTTCAGCTGTTTCCTTGGAGTTGTCCAACTAGAGAGCTAATTTCCTGCCAATCTGTTTGTTCCCTTCAGGCCTCCCTATAAAGATAGATCTGAACTTTTGCAGAGGCATGCCTGGCAAAGCAATCTACAGCTGTAGGACCTTGTCAGAGGGAAAAAGTTACTCCCCCTGACATCCTACACAGAAAATTGGTGTATATTGATATTTATGATTACTGCACATTCATCTCAATTTCATCTCAATTTTGGCATATTCTAGAAAATAAAGTTCAAAGATTTTGAATTTGAATTCTTACTGACAAGTCAAAACGTACATCTTAAGTCACGTGAGCAAGGATAGTTATGGCTAATGAGCTGGGTTCAGCAAATTCTGTGACAACAATAATCTCCAAGACTCACCTTTCCTCATGCAACAGTATGTAACAACATAGATTTAGTGGGTGAAGGTTTTGAGGGAGTTGTTTTGATAATGGCCTTACTACTATTTAAAGTTATTTTACAACTTTAGATTACTTACACTCAATAACTTTACTTAAAGCCAAGGTAAAGGTGAAGGGAATGGGCAGTAGTGTTTCAAGAAGGCCCAAGTGAGAATTGGCCTTAATAAATAAAATGCAGAATCCAGAATCTAACCTATTAAGTTGTTGGAATAAGAAGTTGCTATCATTTGACTCAAGAGAGCTGTATAAATCTATATGCCCTGTGATGCTTGCTCCAGTACTGAAAAGGCCAGAACCATCTTAGACTGTAATCTTCCTGCTTTTAAGACACAGTCTAAGAAACAGGCTTGAGAGAAAACCTACCAGGTCAAACTGAATGTGCAGTTTTTTAAAAACACTGGTTAAAGAAACAATGGAACAGAAGGGTAGGTGGTTTCACTCTCCACAATCCTGGAGTATTGTTTCTCATACATAGCAAAAGTCACACACAGTATCTAATTAATTTTCCTATTCTTAGTAACTACAGGCAGGAAGTGTTTGTAAAGAGTGGCAGTCTCTTAAGCAAAAGATATATGTACAAATGTTAAATAATCCTGAATTGAAGGTTTATATTTCTAATTCAATATATCTAGCTTGACAGTAGATATTTATTCCATCTCGTATCTGTTTCTAGTCCATAGCTTTTATATCACATCTTTTAGTATTCTAAATACTACTTATCAGCAGATCTTTATTCAAACATATCAGAAAGTTAGATGGCCCTCAGTAGCTTATCACAGAATCATAGAATGCGTAAGTTGGAAGGGACCTCTGGCCATTGCCTCTAGTTCTATCAGTGGCCACCACTGAAAAGAGGCCAGCACCATCCTCCTCACTCCCTCCCTTGAGGTACTTCGAGACACTGATTAGATCCCCTCTCAGCCTTCTCTTCTCCAGGCTGAATAGGCCCAGCTCCCTCAGCCTCTTCTCATGGGGCAGATGTTCCAGGCCCCTGATCATCCTTGTGGCCCTGCGCTGGACTCTCTCCAGCAGCTCCACATCCCTCTTGTAGTGTGTGGCCCAGAACTGGACACAATACTCCAGATGTGGCCTCACCAGGGCTGAGTAGAGGGGCAGGATCACCTCCCTCGACCTGCTGGAGATGCTCTTCTTAATGCAGCCCAGGATCCCCTTGGCCTTCTTGGCCACGAGGGCACACTGCTGTCTCATGGTCAACTTGTCGTCCACCATGACACCCAGGTCTTTCTCTGCAGAGTTGCTCTCCAGCTTGATTTTAATATAGAATGTTTTGTCATAGCTTTATATAATTTTGAGTTAAAAATGCATTTTTTAAATTAAAAATGCCATGACTGGTAAAATAGTACCAAGCAAGACAACTCCAACCTTTTGCATTGACAATTCCAACCTTTTCCTTCTATTTCTTTTCTTCTCACTATATAGGAATGGAGCTAAAGCTGAGTTCAAAACTATATAAGCCTCCAAACTTTTCTTGAAAAAACAGTCCTTCAGAATATTATTTATACAATATTTAAAGTGGATGGAAAGCACAGGGCACAGGTGATTGCATTGGCCTCCACAAATACTTTTCACTTCCTGTTCAGACACAATGCAAGTCAGATTTCCACATTTTTCCTCTTTCAGTGTATGATCTGGGAATGTAAAACAGACCCAGAGAGGTGTTCCAATAGATCTGATTATGAAGCATGTGAAAGCACATTCTGAATTAACAGTATGTCTGTTCTGAGAGGGTACATGGACCCTTTTACAGACTTTGTCCTTGTTTTTGCTTGTCTTAGGTTTCTCTCAGTCTTGCTCCATTTATCATTGTCCTCTTCTGCATTCCCAGCGCTAAAGAGGTAATAAGGTATGAAATGTCCCATTGCCTTACAAACAAATAATGATAAATTATCCCATTACATTAATAGACTAATATGGTAGGCCACCTACTTCTCTATCATAATGTATATGCAACCAGAGATGAGTATAAAAGTGGGAGGAAAAAAAAGGCAAGTAGAGATTGGAAAAAAAAAATGAACAAAGAGGAGAAAATAAAGTGAGAAAGAAGAAAGAGGATAATGGTTTCATTGCCTTTGATTTTTCTGTTATGAGTTAAAGTACATGCTACTTTAAGCATTCACTGTCAATACATCCTGGACAACAGATTTACAATTCCCGCCCCCCCCTCAAAAAAAAAAAGAAAGATGAGGAGGATAAAAAGAAGCGAAGACTTATGGCTATAGAATTTCAATCAGATATCCACTTCTTTATATTACAATTGGCTAACTCTGAATAGTTATCAGTTCAGTGCTTTGCTCCAGGATGAGTCATATACACCATGGGATAAGTATTAATCATTTCTTATAAATAAAAGCTCATATTTTTGCAAAGGCAATATTGAAAAGGGAATGCAAATCAGTGCCAAGCATTGTATTTTTCCAGTGCCCCAAACTGTACAAAAGTCTCCTTGGTCATCAGGAAATTCTGCAGCCACTGCTTTTCTTACTGGTTCGTAGTATAATTCTAGTAAACCAAAGCTTGCTATTGAACACAGAAATAGTGATGAACAGACTGCAAACATCTTTTCCTAGAAAATCCCTGATTCAGAGTTTAGACATTTTTTTTTTCATAAAGCACCTAGTCTTCTTGTGTTTTAAATAATAATGTGCACGCAGACTTCTGGTGCGAGGTTTCTGATAGGAACCTCTCTCTATGCACTGAGCTACATTACTAGATATTAGATGGGGCACTGCTGGCTGATAGGCTGAGGGAGAAGTTTCCAATAAAATTACCCTGTTTTTCATGCCCTGGAAAGAAGTATTAGAATAGGGAATACCTGGGGACCAATGGTGGAAATTAGATAGAAACTCTGCTGTACAGATAAATAATACATGTTCAAGAGTTCATGGAAGACACCACAGCACAGATCTAACTCCACCGTCTATACTGCTCTTTCCATATACTCCTAGCCAGAAGGTTGTGGGAAGCTTTCATGGACAGAAAGAAAAGATTTTTGTTAAATGGGGTGGGGATAGAAACTCTGCAGGTGACTGTTTCAGGTTAATCTCTTCCAACTTTAGCCATGAATCAACACTTAAAAATGTCATTAACACAAAATTTTTTAATTCCTCCCCCCCCCAAACATTTATGTATTCCTTTTATTTGTCTTGTAGCATCAGTAGTTATGGAATTTATGGACCCTGTTACTTAGTTTATTTCTGTAATCTTAAGGACTAGTAACTGTCACTTTGAACTTGAAGCTAAGGTTCAGTATAATAAAAGTGATTCTACTGCTCAAAGATGGAAATATCAGACTGCATAACTGGCAATATGGAAGTGATGTGTGGGGTGTGTGCGTGTGCGTATGTTTCTGTTTCATGTAAGTTTTATGACCATCTTCATTTTGGAGGGATGCACAGACAAGCGAGGACACCAGAGCCTGGCTAAAAGTGAATGACTCAGAACATAAATTACCAAAACAGTGTCCAGAAACATGTGTATTTTAATGAGATACTTTTCAGATAGTTTTTGTAATAGCTTAAGCTCATTAAAATTATTTTACATTTATTTCATGTTAACCTTAGTGATTTTGCTGCATTTATATTTGAACAAATACAATGAGAACTCAATTTTGAAAGACTTAAAATATGCTGATATGGATATATCTTTAATTGTTTGACCTCAAACTTTCTTTTTGGATGACAGGAAACATCACAAATTTTCACTTACAAAATGATAAATGTTTCCAGATGACAGGTAATTCAAGTGTCAATCTAACTCATCTACTTCCACAGTGAGCTGATACAGCTTCCTGACAAACTTTTAAAGGGAAAGTATCAAACATACAGGAAGTACTTTAAAGAGCATCCCACAGAAAAAAATGTTCAGATAATTGTTGGATAACAGGTATTCATTTAGTCTGAAATGGTGCTATTTGCAAGCACTTTCATTCACTGGTGTGATCCTAAAAATTGCAGGAGAAGGATGGAGGCACTTCCATTTACAACTCACAAGAAACAGAAGCAACTGTTTTTATAATTTAAATGTGAAAGGAGATTTACCAGACTAGGGCTTGGATCTTGACTGCTTCTATACAAAACTCCAGAAAAGCCAGAGCTCAAAACTGAACTTAGCTTAAATTATCTTGAGTCATTTATGTACGATAAAAAAGAAATATCACTTCTGGGACAGAGTCCAGCTGCACATGTAGACATAGGCTACACTCCAAATAGTCACACAGTGATGACGTATATTGCTAAATAACGTGTTTCCTCTTTTATTAAGTGGACAAATTCTTGTTCCAGGAAAAAACATCGCGTGGAAAGTCATGTGGGCATTTAATTCCACTAATTAATAGGAACTATTTCTAAATCTGGTGATGGAGACTAGAGCAAACAGAGGTAGACCTTGTGACCTACTAGAGCTCACGTGAATCCTTCACTAAAGTACAGTCATTCAGTAAGTAACAAGAAGTCAGACAGTAAGTACCCGGTACAAGCAAAATATCCTCTGAACTGTGCAATCCAAAACATTTAACAGAATGATGGGTATACTTATATTTAGAGGCTTGAAAGGAAAATAGTGATTTCTTGCAATTGCAATTCAGAGTTTGTGTTTTCCTTTATTATCATCCCTCCCACCCATTGCTTCATTATTCCCTAGCTGTGTAGCTTCATATGAGAGAGATTTCAATATTTAATGGTCTACTTGCAGTAAAATTGTCATCTAGGGATAAAAGCAATGAAAGATTTGTAGTAAGAGGTAATGCATTTCATTACATATGTTTGAAAAAAAAAAAGGACATGTTTTTAGGATCTTTTCTTGATGTCTGAAACAGAAGCACAAAATAATTAAGATAAATGCAGAGCAAGCATTCCCACCTGCTCAGATCACAATATGCTCCATCTATTTCAGACCCGAAGAAAAGCCCTTGATAGTTCTAAAAGCTTCTCTGATATTTTTTTCATGCTATTAGTGTGAGATTAGTCTAATAGAAGGTACTATTTGCCCTTAATGTTTGCTTCATTTGTCACCTATAATATTTACAGTAGCCCTATAGTTTCATGCCATAACAAATGGAGCATTTTTAATTTGCCATGCCAGACTTTTTTAACACTTAACAGTGATAACAGTTTTATTATCACTTTTTCTTACATATGGGTAAAGTATGATACTGTTATGAGTGTGACATCAAATTCTTAACTGATGGTACTTGGAGGTCCAACATGGGGAAGAGCTGTAGTGATGGGCCCATCTGTGGCTTTATTTTGCATTGGTAGCTAAACTGATTAGCATGGGCATCAATGCTGACATAAAACATGCTGAAGTAAATCTATGTGATCATTTGCTATATTCATTTTATCAAATAGTCCTCACAAGCTCCTGCTTATTGATGAAGACGGATTATTAATAGATAAACAACCTTCCTTTAGGAGAAACAATTTTTTCTTCTTCAGTGTTCTTTTCAGATACAAACTAGGATATTACTTGTATATCTTAGAAAGAAGATTTGCTAAAAATATTTTTTTAAAATTTTATGGACCATTTCTTTTTAATACATACATTATCTGTGTCACTTATTTTGTTGCAGTACACAATTAAATTTGGCTTTTGTTTCTGATGTAATTCACATTCTTCTATCATTATAATTAGGCAATCTATCATTATCTTCAAATGCCTCACTAAATGTACTGCTTCGATGCTATTAGGGCTATCTTTAAGGCTGTATCCAGCACACATAGCATTGAGGATGTTTCTTCCCCCTGTTTTTTTTGTTTATGTGATAAAAAGACCTTTTATAAGTCCTTTTAATTTTAAATGTGATGTTCAGCTTAACAAGACCTCCATCTGTGCTCACTTTATTTACTCTAAAGATATAGTTCACTAAAATAAATTTTCATATTCTGATAATTTCCTAAATTCTGGGCTTGTTAATAGTGGAAGATTTATACTCTGTCCTATCAGACTATTTTTTTTCCCTTTTTTCTTTCTTACAGTAAAGGTCCAGATTGAGTTTCCACTTCTCACTTAATAAAATTCTGTCCTTTTATGCTTTCAAGCCTTCAGCTTTGTCATCTAATTAAAACCACTAATTTGAGCACTTTCTTTCAATTTAGGCTAGAGATAGCTAACTGCAAAGAGTTGCAGAAGAGCATTGCTGAATGAACACAGGGCAAAAACTAAGAGATGCCATTTAATATTGACAGATGTAAATTGAGGTAGATGGCAGGAACAGTATATAACAGCTTTATATGCTGAATGATAGACTCTGAACTGGCTATAACAATTCAAAGAGGTTTTAGGAATTTTAATAGTAGTTCCATGGAAATATGAATGTGCTCTTAAAGAGAAACAATGCAAGAAATGATTAAGAAAAGAAACAGCAAAAAACTTCAAAACAACACTGTATAAAACAGCATCATTCTCACACCTTGAATATACACTCTGCTCTGAACCTCATCTTAGAAGGATACAGAGAAAAGCAACTTGGATAACTAAAGATACAGCATGTCTGTTGTGCTAAAAATGATTAAATAGACTTGGGCTCTTTAAAATGATTCTGGGAGAAAAATAATGAGGAGTGATAATTTAGGATTAATTTCTAAGCTAAAATTTTAAATAAAAGATTAAATGATAAGAAGATAAACTAGACCTTTGATCCGCATACACTGCAGAATCATCTTAGAACCAGTGATTATTTTCTATATTCAGATTTCCACACTCATGGCTTGTTGCTATTGACTGTAAGGAGAAAAAGATACCTTGAACAACTATGATAACTGATGCCTGAGAAATCAAAGCCCTTCATTCAAAATTATTCAAAAAGTCTTATTTGCTTGGCTTTATTAATTTCCTTTCATCCTGTCTGCTGATTGACAGCAAAGCACTTGACAAATTTTAATCTGTTTCTTTCTCTCTCTCTTTTTATTTTTATGTTTTATTTTTTCCCTGAGCAATTAATCAGATCTTAACATCTGGTGGTAGTCTAACAATCCAAAGAGTGTTGTCGATGATACACTCCTTTATTTACAAAATATACGAAGTCATTGAAGCCGTGTATCCTTAAATACAGTAAAAAATCAAACTAGAGGAGAAATTATTTTATCCAGAGGAGCTGTAATCTCTCCAGCCAAATCTTTCTCAGATTCTCAAATCTCTCTTTTCTTCTTCAAATAAATTATGAAGGCATAGCACATTGCTACTGTCTATGCTCAGGTGCTTTGAACCTTCCGTCTCCCTTTCTCTGGCTGACGCTGTTATAAAATAATCTGCAGGAGAAGTGCTCAGCTCAGATGTTCCTGGTTTGTGACTGAATTTTGGGCAGGAAAGTGCTTGTAGCTGGGGAGATGGTCACTTACAGTGTTTTGCTTCAAAGAATTCAACTTGTGTCTTGTGACAACATCTATGAATGACAGAAGCTACCAGGAATGAGTGAAGAATGTGATCCCTACCGTCTTTGCAGAGGATTCCAGATCTTCCATATGGACAGAGGCAAACAGCATCTTGCTTGGACTTTGGAAAGCACGTAGCACCATTTCCACATGGATTTTCATCACAAGACAGGAACTGGCAGAGTTTTCCAGAGTAGAGTTTAGGGCATTCGCAAAACCAATTTTCTGCATCACTGATAGATTTAAATTAAAAACAGAAAACAAGTATAAACACCAAAGTGTACATTAGAAAAGTGAAGGGTCTTACTTTCATAGGAATTCATTAATATTTGACTTGCAACAGTGATATAGTTTTTTGTTTTTACTCTCTTTATTTATTCTATTTTTTGCTTGTCTGTGTGGCATGAGAAATGCCAGGATACTTTATGGATGACTTGTGTTGACAGGTTCTATTTTATGTAATGTCATATTTTACTTTGTCTTTCTTTTCACCTTAAAATATGTGACTTTTCTAATGTGTTTCATAATTCTGTTGTGCTGCTGTTTTCATGACATATTCAAAATAATTACTAAAAAAAAGCTGTTCTTTTACATCTGAATAAGAAATTAAGAAGAAAAGAGAAAATATAAAAAATTACTTGTTTACTTTGCAAGTGGAGCAACAATTGTACATTACATATAGCTCTTGGCATACAGATATAGTTTTTGACAAAACAGTAGGATGTAAAGGAAAACTGAAATATGAATACCTGCAGTACTGATCTAACTAAAATTGAAACAGAACAAACAGGTATCCCTACTTTCATATATTCTGTGTTCTCAATTATGGAAAAGGTATTATAACATACAAGGGAAAAACGTAATCTCTAGTCATTGTGGAGGGGTGAGAAAACACATGTTTAGAAATGCGATTATTCTTTTTCCAAGTCTCTTTTTTCTTTTTTTTTAAGAGTACTGAGATTTCCCAATGGCAAACATGGTATGAAACCGAAAATCAGACAGAAAAGTAGCAAAGTATGACATTCCAAGTTGACAGTTTCATTTTAGGCTTTATTGGTTTTCTCCCTTGTTTTAGGAACAAAATTAGATGACAGCTACTTAGGCCAGCTTGCATGATTACTACATACACTCAGTATTGACCAGAAACGTGTCTGTCCTATCCTTAGATAAGACCATATGTGCCTGTGGGTTTGAATATAGAGACAGGACATGAGCTACGTTAAATCACAGACAATATGTTTTTTCTCCCAATATAGCATAATCTCTAGGAAGTTTAGTTATAAAATATCAAATAAATGTGATTTCTAAAAATCTGCCCACTGCTTATAATATCCAGACAATCAGGTTACAGAAAATAATCTAGAGCTGAAAGAACTGCATTTATTAAAACAGAAAATAAGTCTGACAGTCTTTGTGCATAACACTTGATTAGCTTATTTCGAGACTGACCACCTACAGTTTTGGGGGAGTGAAAATCTCAGCTGGAAAGTCTACCAGCATGAACCTCATGTATAATGCTTACAGACACCTTTGCAAAACAAAATTGCTATCAGCTGTCATAATAAATTTCTGTGTGCAGCCTGTTCCACTGATAGATCTGTTGCAGACAGTGGGAGAAGAATTGAATGAGAGAAGTAAATGAGAAACTGAATTGCTTTAGTTTGTGTAGCATTGAAGATTCTGCTTTCAACTGGTTTAATATCAGCATTATGTAGTTCAGCTAATTAAAAAAGCAGTAATAGGCTCATATCATCCTGGATATTTGCAACTGACAGTGATGATCTTCCCAAAACTAGGTATCAAATGTGTTTTTGTCTATTCCTACAGAAGAAGGATCCTTGCTGCTGACTGCCAAAATACAGAAACCTTAGTTCTCATCTTAATAAAAAACTAAATTTCATCATTGTTCTATTGAACTATACATCAACATTGGAATTTCTTTTTAGCATCATCTTATTTTTAGTCTTTCGTAGATGATTAACAGTTCTCAGAAAAATTGTGAGGAATTTATTCTTATCAAAATGAGCAATATCCTACCATTTCGGTATTGATGTTAACCTGTCAAAATAACCTACTAAAAACAAAAAAGAGTGATTCCCAGTGAGGCATAGAAAACAGGTATAATAGCTGACCATACCAGAAAAATATCACGGTAAATTAGGATACTGAAAAGTGATGTTTCGAATGACTTACTGTTGTCCTTTCTCAATGCAATCTTTTCCTGTACCTGGTTAAGAAAAGGGTAAGGTCTCCCACACTCCACTGAATTAATCTTCGTTGGAAAAAATACATAAATACCTTAAAGACTGAGGATTTCTCCTCTCCCATTGCATCACAATTTCATGTTATCCTGCTATTCTTTCTAGACGTATGAAGCAAATGAAAATGACCAGCAAATCAAAATGGTCATTTCTTTGGCCTGCACTGTGCAGCTGTGAATGGCTCCAAGGAAAAGACTTTAGATAATTACATCTAAGTATTGAAGAAAGTGAATAGTGTCCAATAGAAACATAGAAAATATCAGAATTTTGAGGTTGCAAAAATGGAAACAAATTTTGAATATGTTGCTGAAAAATGTCACATGCCTATATTAATGTTGTAGTTGAGAACACAAGTGTGCTTTGAAGTGAATCACAAGTTGTCCTCATTGAAATGCTTCAGTTCACAGTGTGGATTGGTCTCAGAGTTCATAAACTGAATTTCTTGCAGATGAACCTAAACCAGAAGATTGTGCCCAGCGGCATGCCCTGGGTACTCCAGCTGCTCTGTAAATCTGCTGTTCTTGAACGACATTATCTGATAAAGCAGAGGTTGCTTTGTAAGTCATAAAAAGAAAATCAAGCAGCCACGGCATATGTAATATAATGTCAAAAAAGGCTTCAAGTTTTAACTACTGACAAACTCTTTGTGTAGACAGAGAAAAAACCTAGCCATCAAGAATCCTATGAAGGAGGAATGTCAACAGTGGGATAAAATGGAATAAAAGACAGAAAACCTCTAGCGAAGGGATGGAAGAGACAATATACTCCCACACATAACTCCCAGGACAGCATAACCTCATGTCACCAACCTTTTGGCATATGAAGAAATAGGGTTAGGGTAGATAAATTGTTTTCCATCACCTTACAATCCTCCTCTGAATCGGTAAGGGGGACACTTTCATAACCATTTGCCAGTTTAAAATATTGCTTGGATCTTTGGGTAAGACCTCAGTTTGGAAAGTAAATCATCAAGAAGCACTTACTTAAATATCATACGGCATGATACTGATAATTCAGTAGGACGAATTCTTCCCCTTGAATCAGCACTAAATATGATCTAAAGAAATCAAAGTTTTGTATAAGATGGGTGATACCCTTAGTATCACGACACTAATTTTCATCCCTCAGTTTGTCTGTAGAGGGGACTGGATTATGACATGCTAATAGTCTGGTTACAGCTGTGTTTAACCTCAGGTTTTGACTATTAGTTCTCTTTTTTTTTATAATAAAGATTAAAATTCCTCTGTACATCATATCACAGGCATAATTTGTACAGTATCTAGTGATACATCAGTGCGGTTCTCCAAAGCACAGCAGTTCTCCATACGACCATGCTTTTTCCGCCTATAAAGTAGGAATATTATGTACAGACTCTTCAACTGTTGTCTGATCCTCACTGAAAGCACTGTACATGTCATTTGTGTAGCTGGATGTGAGAGGGCTTCAATGAAATTAAGTACACATAACACTAATCTTGACAGTGCTATACTGAATGAGAATTTCAAAAGCTACTTGTTGCAGTGGGTTCAATATTTAACACATCAGGCTCTTATTATGCCTCACCCAGATCATTGCTAAAAATATTGAAGAGGACTGGCCCCAACGCTGATCCCTGGGGAACGCTGCTCGTGACTGGTCACCGCTGGATTTGAGTCCCTTCACCAGCACTCTGTGGGCCCGGCCATCCAGCCACTTTTTCACCCAGCAAAGAGTACACTGGCTAAGGCATGAGCTGCCAGCTTCTCCAGGAGAATGCAGTGGGAGACAGTGCTAAAGGCCTTACTAAAGTCTAAGTAGACCACATCCACAGCCTTTCCCTCAGCTACTAGGCACATCACCTTGTTATAGAAGGAGATCAGGTTGGTGAGGCAGGGCCTGGCTTTCATGAACCCATGTTGGCTGGCCCTGATCCCCTGCTTGTCCCACATGTGCTATATGTTTGCCCTCAAGATGATCTGTTCCATAATTGTCCTCAATACTGAGGTCAGGCTGACAGGCCTGTAGTTTCGTGGATCCACCATCCAAACCTTCCCGTAGATGGGTGTCACACTGGCAAGTCTCTGGTCCTCTGGAACCTCCCCAGCTGTTGTCCGGGACGGTTGATCGAGAGTGCCTTGGTGAGCACTTCTACCAGCTCTCTCAGAACCCTCAGGTGGGTCCTATTTGACCCCACAGACTTGTGAGTGTTCAAGTGGAGTAGCAGGTCATTGATTGTTTCCTCATGGATTACGTTTTTCTTTTTTTTCTGCACTTTTCCAATTCAGGGAGCCAAACACCTTGAGGAGAACTGATCTGGGTATTAAAGACTGAGGCAAAGAAGGCATTAAAAGTATCTCACCCTTATACTCATCCATGGTGGCAATATTCCCTGCTGCATCCATTAAAGGATGGAGACTCTCCTTGGCCCTTCTCTTCTTGTTAATGTATTTGTAGAAATGAAGTGACTCAGATGTTCTTTTTAAAACTTCCTGAAATGGCCAAATCCATAGAAACTCACTATAGCCAGAAGAATAATCTTATCTGATCAATACCCTTAAAAATATCAAAGGATTATATACAAAAAAGGCATTTCTTTTTTTGTGCACAGCAGGTGGTTTGCTAGTAGATATCTGCCAATCTTTTATTATACAGCTCCAAAATATCAATTCAGCTTTCCTGCTGCTTTAGTACTTTTACCCAGATTTCCTCAATTATGATATCTTCTTCAGATCAGAGTGTTTTTGTTAGCTTTACTGTTTTGAACTCTTTTTTTTTCTTATTAGAAATTATTATTCTGTAAGATGTAGTGATTTACTTTAAATTTTCCTTCCTTTCACTGGAGGCAGTTTCTAAACTGTTTCTCTTTATACAAATGACCCCTGACAGGCTCTTTTTTAAACCCAGTCTAAGCCATTTGTTAAATAAAATGATTTTGAAAACTACAAGAAAAATTATTGGTTGGGGGCAGTCATGGAAAAAAAAACTTCAAGTGT